GACTTATGATAATTTATTTGTAATCTTTAAAATGTCAATCATTAAATGTAGTGTCAAGACAAAGTTAAAAGATTTCATAATATGTATAAAAATACTATCTTCAATTAACTGTTGATCATGTATCCCTTCTTTCTTAATAATTTCAAGCACTTCCAGTATATAAGTATATATTTTTATTAGACTAATTAAGGTTTCAAAATACGAACCCCAATGGATGTCACCAGCGTGCTACAATTAGTTTCGTAGTTGACTACAACTTAATTCCTCAGTGCTTAGCTAAACAAATTATTTTATCACGCTGAATGACTTCAAGAGTATCATTTCTTTTGTATGAAGCTCTAATAATATTTAAATTCTTGAAGTAATAGCAATGTATATTTGTTATAACCATCAATGATATTTGAAGTTGATAAGCCAAATAATAAATATAGAATGCCCGAGGATTATTATGTAGTATGAGTTCTTTTAAACCATGAAACTCTTCTCGCATATTAGATGCTCCATCGTAATTTTGATTACTATCTTGTGTAGGCTCAATGATTATTTTGCAAGTATAGTTTTAAGCATTGTTTAAAATTGCGCAATACGAGGCTTGTCTTGAGGCCCGCCTCAACGCGATTCCATTGAAAAATGCATCGAGTCTTGCACATCAAACTTTTTTTATGAGGCTTACGCCTTAGCTTGGCCAAGGCCCGCCTTGAGGCACACCATGCCTCGATGACGTGAGGCTTATGCCTCACCCTATATATATATATATTAAAACTTATCTAAATCATAAATTAAAGCATCGAAAAAAACATGTTTAATGCACCCCCAAGCTGTAACAACTTCCTCTCGACTGCCTCGACCTCCAGCCCTTCGTTTTCTCCATTATCAACATCGTCGTAGCCGTCAGGGATCTCTTAAAACTCGCACACCACCACCACTTCCTCTAAAATTTTAAGAGTTTTAATCTCATCTTTATATTAGTAAAAAACATTTATGAAAGAGAAATATAATTGAAATAAATAAAAAAGAAGCAAATTGAGAGACATTGAACTCCATAGGATGAGAGAGGAGAGAGACCAATTTGTTGTTATGATGATGACTCAAATAAAAACCTCCTTAATGATGACAGTGCAGATAAAATCTAAGTTTTTGTTAACTATTTCAATTTTCTTGGGAAATTTAGTGTGGATGAGTAGGGAACTAAGAAAGAAGAAATTTGGAGTTGAACTTGATATTATATGATACTTTTATGTCATTCATATATTTAATATTATTTGGCTCTTATAATATTTAAATTTCAATTCTATTTCATATAATTTATCACTTGTCATTTTACGTCTTGTGCAATTTTTTATTTTATATGTATGCCAATTTGTTACTTCATAATTCAATAGAGAAATATAACATGTCATTATTTAACATATTATTTGGGTATTATATAAAATATCAATTTTTACATTTATTTTGACTTAACGCAATTTTTTGATATTGAGGCTTACGCCTTGCCTCACGAACAAAAAATACGTCAATACTCAATTGCACAATTTTAAACCTTGGTTTTAAGAGATACATTCAGTGCTACTGCATTTGTTGAAGAAATATATGTAATATCTATGAAGATCTCACTTGTTCGAACTTACCTATATATATCACTGCAATAACTAATTATTCTTTATTGGACACATCACAGGATCATCAACTAGAATAGTGAAACAAAAATCACTAATATAATTCATGATTGAAGCTAAGGTCTTAGCAAATTAGCAAATATAACACTACAAATCTCTTTTTGCAATTTTGGTGAAGTCAAGCTAGATGACTCGTCATGCCTACGTAATGACAACCATTGGCAAATAAGAAATCAAACATAATCAACACCTACAGTTTACATGATCTGATATTATTTTTTATTCTTCTCATCATTGCAACCATAAAGCAGGAAAACTCTATTATTGATGTTTTATTAAACCCTTACATTTTTGTCTTGGCTTATTTTGTGTACCATTATGTTCTCCAATATGACTCAATTTCTTTTTTCTCTACTGGTTCTTAAATTATTCACCAACAAATGAGTCTTCACCACCTTGACATGTGATAATTTGCTGTTGAGGATTAAATAAGTAATAATAATAATAAAATACATCTTTTTGTACATTATATTCTTAGTAGTTAGGAAATTCTTCAACCCATTTCAAATTAAATCTACATGTAATATTTCCTATCATTATTTGAGGGAAATAATGATTTTTTTTGGGTGATGTGGTCCCTTCAACAAATAAGCTATTCGAATTTTATTCATATCATTTAAATCATAACTCTAGATTGATGGTCGAAGTTTAGGGTCGGTAGGGAGATTATTAATATCAATTTTGTCATGTTCTTTCCTTTTTAGAAATCGATGACCCATTTATAAAATGCTTGATTGTTACCTTGTAAGTTGGCTAAACTAACATGACAATAACAAAAAAAATATAAAAATATGATCTTAGCAAATTATAGCTCAATTAAAATATTACTTAGAAAAAAACTTTAGTAAAAGAGATTGTTTTCACATAGTAAAAGAGTTTGTTCTTAGATTTTACTATCAAATTTTAACTCGACAAATGAGTGTTTTAGATATTTAAGTGAAACATATAATGGATAGACAAGGCATGCTCACATTAAGAATTATGTTGGGTAATTGGGCAAAAATACCTCTCTATTGTTGACAATTTGATCATTTGGTCGATCAAAAGATGGAGAGTAAAAAAAAATCAACTTAGATATCCATACATGATCATTATGTCCCTAACCATGATGGAGAGATTGATAAAGCTTCTATGCCTTGTAATTAGTGATGTTTTAGTTTGAATTAGATGGTTGAATCTAAACTAAATCTTTGAGATTAGTTACAACTTACAATAGTAATCTAAATTTCATGATCGAATTTCTACCTAACCATACAATTGGTGTCAATGAAAGTGTGCTTCAACAAGATTGATGGGCAGGTTTGCTTGAATCTTGATGGGCATTATAGGAGCTAGAACGACCATTATCCAATTCAACAATCATTACAAGAACGTAAAGCATGAATCTAACATGCTTGATCAAATGGGAATTAATTCAGGGGCAGTTTTTAGTAACAATTTTTTAAACGCACATACAAGTGCAATACAAAATTAGGCATGACTTTATATCAAATACTGATTAATATGGGGAAATTTTGATCATCCTAATAGAAATATATAATAATTACAATTAGTACCATTTAACTACCAAATCGCGAAGATACATACAACGTTCATTTCGACGTAGGTCGTGACACCAGTGGGGTTGTGCGGCGACTGCAAGGATCAGGATACAACTGACGATGCTGTGCAGAGAGCAGCTTCTATGAACGGCGAGCAACGACTATGAACCATGACGTAAATGGGAAATGAAGATTTTAGAAGAGTGAAGCAGCGCACGCGTGGGATAAGGAAGAAACAAAAAATTTGAATGAGTGAAGTGGCGCACGAGCGGGACAAGAAAGATTAGGGCAAAAAAATTCCTTAGGGGGGCAGAATTTGGAAGTACCCCCCATATAAACTAAACTTTATTGTTTAGGGTGGTTAAATGCCCATCCTAAGCTATATAGGGATTCGCCCATGCTTTTCCTGATGTTTTGTTTGCTATTTTTCGCTACGCCTTCTCATTCACAAATGATTTTCATTATTTGGTTTGCTAGTTTGACTCAAAAGTAAGTAGTCGAATGCTAAAAAATCTAAATGGTTCTTGGCTTGGATTCAGCTTGAATTAAAATTAACTAACCAACTCACTATTCATGCTCGGCTAAAATCAAACTATCAGTTATGATGCACCAACACCTATCCACAAAATGGCACGCAGTGTCCGACACAACACAAGTCTCACATGCCTCTGACATGTGTCAGACACGGACACATCGAATACCTGTTCCATGTAAAAGTTGTTAAAAAAATTGACCACGCGTGTCCGACAATCATATCTAAATTATTTTATGTAAAAACTTTTTTTAAATATCATTTATTGTATTTCAAAATTTTATTTATTAAAAAAAAACTAAATTTTTTATTTCTTCTCCACATACCAAATAAATTTGCCTGCATTGAATACCATATTCTTAAACATTCCTATTTTTATTTCTCTATGGTGGATTGTTGCTAGGGTTTTATAACAACTTCTAATGCTATCTCAACATTTACACCCAACGCTGTCACAACATCAATGTTTTAAAATCATTTCAATATCGAAATTTGATGCTAATTTTACATTAACGCTTATTGTCGCAATTTCTACATCACAGTCATGCCCCTACGCCGTCTCGACATCTCATCTTTGTTTGACGTTGTCTCAACATTGACGATCGATGTTATCTTGGCATTGACGACCGACACTATCTTGACATTGATGCCTGATGCCTTTTGCGCAACATCGATGCTCGACTCTCGATAACATTATCATCTTCCCTCTCAATGTTAGACATGCCGTTAATGTCCGACTCTCGATATTAATCATTTTAAACACAAATTCAAGTTAAAGAACTTATTATTTCTTAATTATTCTTAATATTCTACTTATTCAATTTTTAAACACTATTTTTAATATATAAAAATTATGATACTGTGTTTAACTCGTATCCGTGTCCTATCTTTTCAATAATTGATGTATCCCATCTTGTCGTATCATATTCCATGTCATCGTGTCCGTATCTAGGCCTAAATTGGATTCGGATCAAAATGTATTTGAATACATGCATGTGTGTGTATGGGTGTATGCATATATGTTAGATTAAGAGCTTGTGTTAGTGGACAGAAATCAATTAAAAGTTGATTAGGTTTTTATCCACATTAAAATCATGGGCCAAATCTTACTTAGCTCTTGATTGGATCGAATTGCTTTTAGCCAATCTCGAGCCAGGATTGGCTGGCTCTAGATAAGATTTTTCACAGCATAATTCTATAGGAAATGGTGATGAGGCAATGAGACATAATAGTTGTAATGATTAATTGCAGGCCTACTGCTGAAAATCTTATTCCTATTCGCTTGGATATCGAAAACGAGGGGCAACGTTTCAAAGACTCCTTTACTTGGAATCCCACTGGTACTTCTTTACATTTATTAGAGAAATATACTTCAGTTCTGCCATCTTTACTTGTAAATTTTTTTCAAGGGAATATTTTCTGTTCCATTGAAAGTATAGAACATAAACTTATGGAGCCTCTCAATTTTGCATCATTTAGTATAATATTCATTCTTTTGCAAGCTTCCTTGGGCATTTCTTCTATATTTACATTACGTGTATACTGAATTTTTCCATAGTAGTTGTGAGACCAGATTGAGATTTGGGATCAGGAAAACATTTGGAATGTTCTTAAGTGTTTTCTTTTGCTAATATATTTGTATTAACTCATGCATGTTGCTTAGTTCTAACTTCATTTTAAAGAGATGCTTGGTTTAAGCTAACTAGTAGTTCTTTTTTTTCCTCACTGTAAGATCCTGATTCTGAAGTAATCAGTTTTGCAAAACGGACTGTCAAGGATCTGAAGTTACCGCCAATCTTCATCACTCAAATTTCCCAATCAATACATGTAAGTGGTTACTATTGTTCCGAGCTCACTACCATGATTTTGTTTAAGTTAGCAAATGTGAGTTATTTGCTTTCTTGGACTATTCCACATGTGCTATTAAATACATTAGCAGTACTCAACATATTTTTATGGTCCATGGGTGATTTTAAAGCTTTTTAATTATAACTTCATTTGGTTCAACTTATCTCCTGCATAACTTTTTTAAAAAATAGCTTATGGTTTTTATGAGAGAGATGCTTAAAAAATTATCTTTTTATACTTGCACCTTTTTTATAGTTTCATGGGCATATGGCTTGACTTATTGAATAACTTTCTTTTCACTATGAGAATACAGTGATTTTAGTTCATCATGCACATAATTAGAACAACATCAACATAGTTGTACCAAATAAAGCTCGTCTATTTCTTTCTTTCATGTGTCATCTTACTTCCTTTCCAAGGCAGCCAAGGCCTTTTGAAATTTTATTGGATTTTAAAATAAGCATTTATTCAAGTTCATCTATGTCTCATCTTACTTCCTCAAGGGCTCATGTTGGTGTTTTTGTTCTCAGCTTTGAGCTGTGTTATGCATTATCATTTTGGAATGTTACCTTCTGTTTCATAGTTTTTGAATTGCAATAATTCTTCACTTCATGCTATCTTTCATGTAAACTCTTGTATTGGAGCCTGATTCTTCTAGACCAGTATCATATAGTTTTGATAAGCTATGCCCATGTTTGTTATGCTAATGGACTTTGTTTGGTTTGCTCAGTCACAATTGGCTGAATTTCGGTCTTATGAAGGGCAGGAAATGCATTTAAAAGAGAGGATTGTGCCCATTAAGGTATGTTAGTTGGAGAATGTACTGGATATTTAACATGCTTATCTGTATAATGGTGCAATGGTTTTGCAGCTTGACATACGTGTAAATAATACTGTACTCAGAGACCAATTCCTTTGGGTAAATTTGTTTGAACTTTGCGTTGCTATGTTTTTTCTTTGTAGTGCTTCATTTTCTGGTCAAATAGTTATTTTTGGTTTATTCACAAGCTAGTTGTGTTATTTACTTTCAGGACATAAGCAATCTAGAAAGTGATCCTGAGGAGTTTGCGAGAACCTTATGTAAGGATTTGGATATTGAAGACCTCGAAGTTGGAGTAAGCAACCCTTGATGTTCTCGATGATGAATTAGCTAACTAAGGCATCAATTTCTATTGCACATTCTAATCATATTGTTTCTGATTTAGGTCGGTTATTTAGCTAGTATGCATGGAAAGGGAGAAGCTTTGTCTTGAATTCAAGAAACACAATCTGACGATGAAGAAAGTTACACAGAGCAATTGAAAACCATAATTTTTTATCATCATTTGTCTTGGGTTAAAAAAAAATAATAATAGGAGGTAGTAGGGATGTTGTGTATGATAGAAAGTATTGGAGCATTTATAATTTTCTATTACTGTTTACACATATAGTAGGAAATTTGAAAAAAGATTTAAACAGGAATACCTGGAATTACTAAAACTTATTCTCGAACTAGCTGTTATGGTGGTATGCCATTTTTTATTGGCAGGATCTCTACAACAACAACGACAACATCAAGCCTTTTATCCCACCACGTGGGGTCGGCTACATTAATCCTTTTTCTCCATTGCGTCTGGTTAAGAGTCAAATTCTCATTTAGATCTAATAAAGAAATGTCATTTCTAATATTTTCTAACCCAGTCTTTTTAGATCTACCTCTACCTTTCTTAACATAGGTTAAATCTAATGCATCTACCCTCCTAACTGGGTCATCGGCCATTTTATGTGATCAAACCATCTAAGGCGACTCTCTCGAATCTTATCTGTCACTGGAGCTACTCCAACCTTTTCACGTTTATGCTGATTTCGATTGATAGGATCTCTACTAGATATAAATTCCTGTCATATACAACTTACTATTTCCTTTTCATAATAGTAATATTTGCATTTTGGAAAGGAAAGTGGCATATTATTGTAAAATTTACTTACAAATAAAGATAGATTCTCACTTGAATTTTACCTCTATTTCTGTTAACATATCAATTAGGCATGAAAATATCATACTTATTTTCTTTTATCTTTTTAATCACTATTTAATAAAAAATATTAATCCAATTTGGCACTAAAAAATTAAACACATGACATATTTAATGCTGAATGTTTACTTATCTTGCAACTTATTATTATTATTTTTTCTGTTTCATCATCTCCAAGTTTGAAGCTAATCACTAATCTTTGATTATCTTGTTACTTTGTAGCCAACAATTGCCGTTTGTATAAGAGAGCAGCTTTTTGAGGTTAGATTTATTTTCCTCGCCCTTCTATGACGGATAAGAATTTTGAAGAAATAGCAATTTTGTTCCGTTATGCAGTTATTTGGTTATTGTTCTGCGAATTTCTTTTTTTGCATGCTTGAAATAAGGTAAAATGTGGGACATGTTTTTTTTGTTGCCTTTTGATAACTAGAACTTTTGCAGGATATCTTTATGTGCTGTAGATGTGTATATTAAGGTTTCGTTTGACACAACTTTCTTACTGTTTTTTAAAACATCTTTCTAGTATAAGAATGCTAGTTTTTGTTCTAAAAAATGCTTAAAGAGGCAGTAAAAAAGCCATCCCAAATGAAACCTGAATCAAAAGGTGATAGTTGGCATAAGATATTGATGACAGTTCTTAAAATTGAGTTCAAACACATTTTAATATGAAAATTCGATGCAATTTGAATATAACTATTTTTAGTTAATATTTAAGTATCACATCATTCATGCTAATATTTTAAAATATAAATTCAAATTAAAATTTATTTATTTTATTTTACTTAATATTTAATTATTGCATTATATATTTATCTGCTGAACTTTTGCAGGATATCTTTATATGTGCTGTAGAAGTGTATAATAATGTTTCGTTTAAAATAACTTTCTTAATGTTTTTTAAAACATCTTTTTAGTACAAAATTTTTAATTTTTTACTAAAAAAAAGCTTTAAGGAGCAGTAAAAAAACCGTCTCAAATGAAGCCTGAATTAAAAGGTGATACTTGGCATAAGATATTGGTGACAGTTTTGAAAATTGAGTTCGTACACATTTAAATGTTAGCCATCATATATATCATTAACTTAAATTTGGATATGAAAATACGATGCAATTTGAATATAATTTTTTTTAATTAATATTTAAGTATCACATCATGCATGCTAATATTTTTAAATCTAAATTCAAATTGAAATCTATTTATTTTATTTCACTTAATATTTAATTATTACATAGTATCTTTATATGTGCTGAACTTTTGCAGGATATCTTTATATGTGCTGTAGAAGTGTATAATAAGGTTTTGTTTGGGACAACTTTCTTATTGTTTTTAAAACATCTTTTTAGTACTAAAAGAAAAACTTTAAGGAGCAGTAAAAAAGCCGTCCCAAATGAAGCCTAAATCAAAAGGTGATACTTGGATATGAAAATACGATGCCATTTGAATATAACTATTATTAATTAAGTATCACATCATGCATGCTAATAATTTTAAATATAAATTCAAATTGAAATCTATTTATTTTATTTTACTTAATTTTTAATTATTACATTATATATGATATATGTCAGCTATTATATATATATAACTTTAAATTTTAACTAAATATTATTTATAGTTTAGTTAAATTTAATTGTTCATTTTTAATCATTTGTAACTTTTAAGTCTGGGCCTTACAGTATATCTAATTGTTTAAAATTTTATTATTATTATTTTTGTCACCCCTTGCAACAAATGGATATTGATTAGTTCCCTCATATAAGATGCTTTTATGCCGACATTGCATTATGATTACCTTCTATATTTAGTTTTCAATGTGTTTGGTGCAATGATATCTCATTAATCCCTGTGCGTTGTTTGGTTCATCTCATTGTGTGCAAATCTGGTCCTGTTAGATGGCTACAACTGAATGATGCTAAGAATAGGAATGAAAAAGGGAAATGCTAGAGTCAATGTTGATTATTCTAAGTAGCACTGGTTATTTATCGACGATGGCACTGAACCAAACAAAAAAAGCAAATGATAGATCCACTAACATTTTCTAATAAAAATGCAATGCTTCTGAACTATATTTCCCATAAAATTTTGGCCTTGTTACATGTCTGAATGCATGTATTATACTGTTAGTATTTGGATTATGCAAATGAAGTTTGGTGAAAAATTATGCTCTTGATCTCTATTTCTTATTAACCACAATTTAAATTTCCTTACGAAAAAAATCAAGAATCCTTGTGCTGTGAGGTATTTTTTTGTTGCTGGACCATAGCCTTCCTTGTATACGGCACATGCAAAACATTGATTAAATTTGTTAAAATGTGGTTTCCATCTGAATGCTCGTTTTTTTGTAATTAAACAAGTTCCCCTCTATTGGTTTATTTTATATTATAGATTGCCATCCAAGGTGTTGCTTCTGCAAGAGAAAGCAGAGTAGGGAAAAAGGGTAGAAGAGGAGCTGAAAGTTTCATAAATAGGTTGGTCAGACTATGTTCTCATCTCAACCAAGTTTTTCTACAAGTATATGAGTAGAATATTCTCTTTCATGGTTCTCCGCTTTTTTGATATAGTGAATATGATTATCAATTTTCTTTTGCAGTAAAATGAGTAGTAGTTCTCTCGACCTGGTGAAGTTATTTGGCAGCAAAGGAAGTGTTGTTCGGTAAGACTGCTCCGAGCAATTGGCATTTGCAATACTCGAGTCATTATTTTTAACTGTTTCTTTAGCATGGATATATTTTTTATTCTTATTTGGTTTGGGGAAGGGGTTAGTGGGTGCGATGGTTTGGGTTTAGAGGAAGGTTAAGACAACTTTTGTGAGTAGCTCTCATGATGAGGAAAGTTCATCCTGTGGTAGTTCCTACATCGTCTAGGTGTTGAGGTTGTCCAATGGATTCACCTATTTATCTTTAAACTTCTGCCACAGTGGTGCGACATGTTGGATAGAGACTGAATATTTGGAAAAAAATGATTTTAGGGCACAGAGACTACTGGTAAAGTTCATATGAAAACCTCTATCCGATATAAATTACTATTATTATTATTTTTTTATTCCATGTGTCGAAGGTCATACTAAGAAGTCCTGAATGATAACATTTAATAAATTGTGAACAAGTGATACTAGAATTAAATCACTTATTTTCCCTAAACCCTAAACAAGTGATAATAGAATTAGAACTGAAATTATAATGAACTGATTGTAACAATTCAACAATTTTAGTGAGAAATTTGGAACTTAAAATAAAAAATAAATTGAAATTAATTTTTATAAATTAGATTTTTGATATATTACTTTTTGATCAAAGTTTAGAACAATTTCAAATAATGTTGATGAAATATAATAATGAAGGCAAATATAAAATTAAGAAAAATCAAGTCTTATGTTGGTTCAGGTAGATGACCTCCAGAGTTAGGTGGCCACACTTGTATCACACTTAATGGAATCACACTTAATGGATTCGCTCAAGTGAACTTTGAACATATTTTGTTCCTACTAATTTATTCTAACTGCAGTCAGCAGGAATGAGTTTAGAAAAACAATACACAAGGATAAGGATGATTTTTGTGACTCAAGTCCTACTAAATATGTTAACATATGCACAATAAGGATCTCAGCCATCATAACTAAGGGGGAGGGGAGCGCAAGAAACCATGCCATGCATATCTTTAATAACTTTCAAGTAAGAAAATTTCATAGATAATTTTATTGATTTCGTGTAGGAAAAGGAAGGATTGGTACTTGTATGAACCCATTGTCGATATTCTATCAAATGAGGAAGCTGAGGCTCTTGATGCAAGGGAAGTGCAAAATGCTCGGTGAGTAAATTGCTTTTCTTTCAACTAACTTCTGCATGTAGGTAAAGTGAATGGGATGTATTTTAGGGGAATATATAATGGATTTTCCTTTTTTTTTTTTCCGTTAAAGCATATTATGGTCTAAATGCAGCTAATCATATTATTTTTCATTCTAATTTAGAGTCATGTTATTTGTTTTTGCTTCATCTATTGTTTAGAAGTTTGATCCAATTACTGCCTTGATGTTGAAGAAAAATTGGGTCAGATAGTTGTAAAATTTTTTGATTTATTTTGAGATGAACTCATGCACTCATATTAAAAATAAATCGAAGAGTTTTAAAATTAATTTTGATTAAAGTTGGGTTAGGATATACTAATGTAATTTTTATTTTTTTATTTTTTTATTATTATGCTAGAAGATAAGATTAGAGAGAATCACCTTAGATGGTTTGGTCACATAAAATGTTGGCCTTCCGATGACCCGGTTAGTCGAGTAGATGTATTATATTCGACCTTTCTTTATATAGTTTAAATGAGAATTTGACTCTTAATAGAACACAATGGAGAAAAAAGATTCATGTAGCGGACCCCATGTAGTGGGATAAAGGCTTATTGTTGTTGATGATAATGCTAAAAACACATCATTTGGAGCAAAATTCATTTAAGGAATTCCTTATAGAAATCCCTATATAATGAATACCGAAATATCATAGGGTTCACTTTGGGTTTTTTGTTTTTGGGGAATGGTGGGTGATAATTATGAAGTTTAAACTGATGCCGCTCCTTTAGTGTGAATGCTCATCAAGATGTTAACTTACGCATGCGGGGGTATTAACTGATGCCGCTCCTTTAGAGATCTTGTTGGAAAAGCTTTGTTATATACATTAGCTTCTAACTGATATTCTAAAATAGATAAACTTCTGTGACTAAGCTTTGTGGCATTTATATGTTTCATGCTACTATAGTCACTTTGAGATTTATAAAATTCATAGGGATTTGTGTAGAGGATCAATCAACCTTGTTGATATCACTGATTCCAAATTACTTATGATAAGTCTGATGGAAGGAATAATCCCTCAATCTCATGTATTAAAAACATACAATGATATTCAGAATGAACTAGCATATGGTTAATGATAAGTTGCAATTTCTGGATGTGACAAATGTAGTTTGAAGAAAAAGCTGGATGAGAAGGAAGACAGCTTTCAGGAACGCAGTTGAGAAGGAAGAGGCTTATCGCCAACCTGATTGATGATTCCCAATCATTTCATTTGCTGAGCTCTTGTGGGTGATAAATGAACCATGGATTGCGGGTGATCGCCGCCGTAAATGACAGCAAATCAAATTAATTCAATATCAAGTTGTATCCGTTTGTATGCAAGAATCCATTTATATCAGTTTTCTTTCGGTTACCAGAATGCCTGAGGTGTTCCTTGGCCATGCAAATTTTGATATTAAAGAAATACGCTTTTTAGCTGACTTAGAGAGAACATCAATTGTAGTAGTCTGACTTAGGTTATTATCCAGAGCTATCAGAGCTTTGTTTTGCTTGATAGCATTCTGTGTCTTCTGCTTAAAGGCATTTCATCTATCCCAACAGTTCTGGTATTATCCTTTAATGGCTACATCAGAATTTGCAAATACTGTTCCATCCATGGCCGAAACGCTACCTCCAACAGACAGTACAACTATTCAAATCCTAGCTCAACTCAAGTTCTTAACGAATGAATAATATGATAAGTATTATTCATATTCATCTTATATCTATCCTGCCTCTATCCTGCATGGCAGTCACAACCAAATCACACAGCCCTTACCACTACAGCACCATCTCTGTCCACTGATTGGATCGTCGTGGACACCAAACTCTCAGCACCTTCAAAACTCAGCTTCTCTGTCATAAACTTTGTTCGAGGTTTATAATAAGAGAATATGATGAGTTTATGTATTTATTATTTTTTTTAATTTTAAATATGTTTAAAAATCTTATTTGAATTTTATCCAAAATTCAATACCTTTAAAATATATTATGATAAGAATTTATCCAAAATTTATACAAATATCTATCCAAATTTATTTCCTCCCAAACCACCTGCAACCAATTTCCCTCTGGACCATTATAAAATTCTAAAAATAAAAATCTAAAAAAGGAAATGTCTATATTAAACTAATTCCTTATTCTCTCTCCTCTTTTATTTTCATATCCTGCCTTCTTTCTCTCTCCACCATAGCCTGGAGAAAAATCCACCAAACCTTTTCCTCCTCTCTCCCACTTCCTCGACGCACAAAAATATCCCTCCATTATTCCATAATCAAAATTTTCCTTTCCCTGTCTCCCATGAGAATAACAAGAACATCCCAAATATTCCTTCATTTTATTCTCTACCTCTCCCTTCACAATCTCATCTTTGTCACAACAGCCAACGATGGAATCTACAACCCCTCTGTTGTCTCCATCCTTGTCAACTGTGGCTCATCTACCGACGAACACGATGCCGACGGTCGAAAATGGGTTGGTGACACTTCCCCTAAAGCTTCTGTCTCCGGAATCATCTCTACCAAATCAACCCCTTCAACCGCCACTTTCCAAGATCCATCTCTCCCCTCATCTGTTCCTTACATGACGGCAGCGATTTTTGAATCTGAAGCAACTTATAAATTCCCTGCAAGAAAAAAAGAGCGTCTTTTAATCCGGCTTCATTTCTATCCTGCCTCCTACAATGACCTCAACCCAGAAAACGGATTCTTTAATGTGGTCGCCACCCCTTTCGCCGACGGTGTAGGCGGCATCACCCTCCTTCACAACTTCAGTGCTTATATAACCGCCCAAGCGTTAAGCCAATGTTACATAGTACGAGAATTCTTCCTCCCAACGATCAACGACGATTTCCTCACGCTGACCTTTACTCCAGCCGTCGTTCAACCCAAAGCCTTCGCCTTTATCAACGGCATTGAGGTGATCTCAATGCCAGACATCTTCACCACCACGGCCGTCATGGTTGGCTTCAGCGATAGCTCCGTCACCGTTGGAGCATCCGCCGTACAGACAATGTACAGACTGAATGTCGGCGGACAGTACATTGCTCCGACTAACAACACAAGCTTTAGTCGCACGTGGTATGACGACACACCATATATTTCCGGAGCAGGAGTTGGAGCCACAGCAGCCGCCGGGCCACACATAAAAATTCAATACCCGATGAACTTACCAACATACATAGCTCCGCCGGACGTGTACAGGACAGCGAGGCAGATGGGGCCAGATCCTAAAGTGAATATACAATTTAACCTCTCATGGTCCTTTCAAATCGATGGCAACTTCACCTATATTGTGAGACTCCATTTTTGTGAGATCCAGCTTACTGAAGTGAACCAGAGAGTTTTTGATATATTTATTAATAATCAGACGGCTCAAAAGGACGTCGATATCATCGCAATGACTTCATCTATGGCGATTCCTGTCTATAGAGATTACGCTATTTATATTAGCAATGAAGAACAACTGTTGGTAGCGCTCCACCCTTCGACTGATTCAAAACCCGAGTTTTTCGATGCAATTTTAAATGGTATAGAGATATTCAAACTCAGTGACGCCGACGGGAACCTTGCAGGGCCAAATCCAAAGCCTTCAGCGATGCTTGAGAATGAGCTACAAATAACCACAAACGCGCCGAAATTTCAACCGGAATATTCAAGCGAGAAGTCACATGTGATAGTTGGCACCGCAAGCAGCGCGGCTGCTGCAGGACTTATCTTCGCACTCTGTTTTGTGGTTTATCAAAGAAAGAGAAGAGCTAATGATAATGAATCAGAGGTCAGCGCCTCCGGCTGGCTCCCGCTTCACAGAAATTCCCATACTACTGTAAGCAAATCCAACATGTCCTCAAAAACCTGCACAAGCAGCCACCTTTCGACCATGGCGGCAGGTCTCTGCCGCGATTTCTCTATTTTCGAAATAAAACAGGCAACAAAGAATTTTGATGAGTCCCTTATCATTGGTGTCGGCGGATTCGGCAAAGTCTACAGAGGAATAATTGACAGAGGAGCAACGAAAGTAGCTATCAAGAGAGCAAATCCTGATTCAGAACAAGGCTTGCATGAATTTCAAACAGAAATCGAAATGCTCTCCAAACTTCGACACAAGCACTTAGTCTCACTCATCGGATACTGCAAAGAAGCTAATGAGATGTGTCTAATTTACGACTATATGGCTAACGGAACACTAAGAGAACATCTTTATAAAACAAACAAGCCTGCTCTGTCATGGAAACAGAGACTCGAGATCTGTATAGGAGCAGCGAGAGGGCTTCATTACCTTCACACAGGAGCTAAACACACAATCATTCATAGAGATGTAAAGACTACTAATATACTTCTGGATGAGAATTTTGTGGCCAAAGTTTCTGACTTTGGGCTATCGAAGACAGCACCATTGATGAATCAGTCTCATGTAAGCACAGTGGTGAAAGGGAGCTTTGGATATCTTGATCCTGAATACTTTAGGAGACAACAATTAACTATTAAATCGGATGTATACTCCTTCGGTGTCGTGCTATTTGAAGTAATGTGTGCTCGGCCGGCACTCAATCCTAGTCTTTCCAAGGAGCAAGTTAGTCTTGTAGATTGGGCAATTCATAATCAGAAAAAAGGTAAGATTTTTGAGATTATAGATCCTTACGTAAAAGGAAAGATTAATTTAGAATGCTTGAGCAAATTCGTGGAGATAGCTGAGAAGTGCGTTTCTGAGCATGGAAATGATAGGCCAGTCATGGGAGATGTGCTTTGGAATCTTGAGTTTGCTTTGCAGTTGCAGGAGAGAGATGAAGATGGAGGAGTGAGTTCTCATGGGAGTGGGAGCAACGTTGATGTTTTAAACTTATCAAGTGAAGGAGATGGGGTCGTTAATGAAATGAAAGAAGATTTGGATGATTTATCTGTCTTCTCGCAGTTTCTCAATCCAAAGGGAAGGTAAAAATTAAGAATGAAGATGATATATAGACATCATGTAGTCATATGATCGTTTTGTCTTGAGGATAATATTTTTCTTAGGTTTGAATGTTTTAACCATTGATGTCGGTTTGTTTTTCTCGATGCCTTACTTCATGTGTATGTATGCATAAAGATGAGTTGGTCTGTTGTGCTTAAATTATTATGTTTCATTTTAATGTTGAATTAAATTAGAAAAACATTAATATTTTATACTATCATAAATTATAATAATTGTACTTTATAATATTACAAGAATGACTGATAATATATTTTTAATATATTTTAAACGATCATGAGTGAATTTTATTATAAGTTCACACCAACATTTGAACATATTTTAAATTTAATACTCATCCGAGCAAAGTATAAATGTTTTTTCCAAGTCATCCGAGCAACTTATATGATTTCTTTAGTACGGTACTATAGCTGGCCCTCCTTTTTTTTTAAATTAAAAAAATTAACTTATTGGAGAAATAATTTTATAATAAAATGAAAAAAAAATGATGTCATAAAAAAACATTTTAATCAAGTACAATTCTCAACGCATATTTAAATTGAAAATTTTTACAATCAAATTTAGAATTATTCTAACTCAGATTACCACAAACTTTATAGTCACACTGAACATCTTGATACGATGAACCCATTCACACTAAAGATTGATTCGATCTAAATTCAAATGAACCTAAATCAAGCACTTGAAATTAATTAAAAACTTTGGGATATTAATTAAATGATTAAACAATCCCTAAATTTTGCATGCTCATAATTAAATCGAGCATCTTGAAAAGAAAAATAAACCAAGACTAAGTTTTTAAAGCATCTTTAAGAATTTTAAAGCATCACCTTGACCTACATGTGACATATTTTCTCATTTGCTACCAATTGTCCAAAATCAACGGACTTTCAACTGATTCCAAAGCTATAACAAAATTTTATCATCATGATCTTCCATTTCCCCCTCCCGTCAATCACTATTGCCCTTAATCTCAATATTCAAATCATCAATTTGGTTAATATCATTTGACTCCTTTTTTCTTCTCTCATTCTAGAATTGAAGGATGATTCAAAAATATTATTTTTCTCGCTTCTAAATAAACTAACATGTGATTGTCCCCATCTCACAATGCATCCGATATTGACCCTAATCCTGATACCGATAAGGAACTGGTTCTTGTTGTTTTGGCCACAACTTCCACTTCAGTGAATCAAGATACCACAAAGTTTTTATAAAATATTCCACCTTCAAATTCAAAACTATAAAATGGATACAAATATAGCTACTCCCCCATCCTGACATCTTTCAATGCACTTTTTGTTCAATATTATAACATAAATTGTTAGCGTTAGAATGGTGATATGCAAGCCACTGACTACAAGAACTTGGTTAAAAACCGTACGATAAATCTCTTATATATTCTTGAGAGTTGAGACCAAACATTCCACTCAACTTATTTTCTATGCAATTCAATATTTTTCTAAATTGAGAACATCCATGATAATTTTCATTTATCTTATAGTGGATATGTCTCATTCTCAATGCTCACATCTCATCTTCATGATTACATCTGTTTATGATAAAAAAGACAATAAAGCTCTTTGGAATTTTATCATTAACATTAATAGTTCTTGACTAATTATATGAGATTTCAAATTCTAATATACTATTTTTTTACTTGATTCAAAATTTAAAGATTTATATGATTATGAGAAATTATTATATATAATATATACATCAAATTCAATTAGATTAATTAAATAATAATTAAAATAAAAATCCTATTTAAGTTAATTAAACACAATATATTACTTTTTTTTTTTCAAATTACATAATAAATAAGATTACTTTATTTTAATAAATATTTTAAATAATTAGTATTCATTCACAAGGGTGGCTTATTTTTATTAATGTATTTGTATCTAATTTATAAGATTGATAATTATTAATAATCTTAATTAGTAAAGTATATGAAATATAATTAAGTTAAGTAAATCATATATAAGACAAGATGATATTCTACTAAATTATTTATTAGTTTGATTAAATATAATAATTTTAATTACTCAAATTAAATAAAAAACAATATTACTTAAGTTAACATAATTTTAATTAATAAATACTATTATTATTTATTTATTGAAACTTATACTACAATCAGAACCTTAGTCTTCCCCTTCCGGAAAGCCTGGACTGAGACGAGAGGAAGCTGCCGCGGAAGCTGGTTGGAGCGAGGGGACGAGCACCGTGTGAAGGAGAATAGGAGTTCGCGAGACTCGCAGATTTAAATTAAATCAGTCAAATATCAAAATCCGAGATTTTTATGGTAAAAGGGGGGAGAAATGGGATATAGATTTCTGCAAGATTCATGTTTTCGTTTTTGACGGGTTAATTGGATTTTTGAAGTTGAATATTGTTTGAATCTTACTCAGATTCTGATATCGAACAACCCCTTACCCTTGCTTATTCTCCATTCTGCATCGGTGTGCTTTACCTTAAAGCATCAAAGAGAAAAGACTCTTCCGGTCTTACCTCATTGAAAATTGTTAAATTGTTTATTATAAACAAATGCAGAACATTTAAGAGATCAAAGTTTCATTAACTGAAAAGACATATGACAATAACATACTGAAAAAAGAATAGTGTAAAATTAATCCTATATAGGGGTGTAACCGAGTTAAGCCAACTCAAGAGCCATCTCGAACTCCACGGCTTATCGAGCTCGAAAAAACATCTGCTCGACTCATGAGCTCGTCGAGGAGCTTGTGGAGGTGACCTTCTGTTGTTGATGGGAAAATGAAATATCGGGCTCGGTCGGGCGGGAAAAATGAATCGAAGGCTGGGTGGGAAAACGAAATCTTGAGCTCGCGTGCTACTTGAAGACGGAACTCAAGACGACAGTGGACGCGACAAAGGAGCTCGGGATGACGGAGCTCCCGTGCTGCTAGCTTGCTCATAACGGAGCTCGACGAGCTGCTTGACGTGAGACGAGTCGAGCCTCGAGCTCGAATTGAGTCGACCTCAAACTCGAGCTCGATATTTGTCAGTCAAGCTCGACTCGAATACCCCCTGGCTCAAACTCGACTTGACTATTCCCATATCACGATAAAACTTATTATATCTATGAAAACTTTGATTTTTTAGCAGGAATTTGTAAGAACAACAGTTCTAATTATAGACAACTAAAAATAAAGCTTGTGAAGACAGAATTGAAGTAGAAAATGTAAGGTATCTTCATTTGTAACAAGTATAATTGTTATGCTTTTATAAGGCTAACATAATGGAAATAAAATCTATTTAATCTATTTAGTTTGGTCATTCCAGTTGCTCATACAAACAGACAAAATAAGAGAAAACAGTCCCAGAAGGGCAATATGAACCTGCTCAGTGTTGTTAGTCTTAACAGAAATTTGCCCATTGCATCTATTGTTAAGCCCAACACGAAGCGCCATCTTTGAATTTTGACTGTTGGAGAACTCAGACTGAAAATTAGCACCCACAGCAAAGTCTGTCCATTTAATTAAAAATTTTAAAACTACTGATACCGATTAGAAACCTCCATTCTCTTAAATAACATTTTTAAAACTGCCTTTTTACAAAAGTTACCGAATAATCAAACAATTTCTTATTGTATTCTAACATTTTAGATGAGACGGTAAATAAAACTATTTTAATTTAGATTTCCCCTAAATAAAATTTGTAGACCTGCCATTGATTGGAGCTATACTCCAGCCTACAATTAGATAAATAAAACAAGAGGACATACATCTTAAATTAAGCTTAAAATATTAAACCTACAATTTTGGACAATCTCAAATTTCATGAAAATGGCTTAAGATGATGATATGGAGAAAATAAGAGAGGTCCTTGCACTTCATGATTGTGGAAGTTCCATGGATGTGTACCCATGTGTAACCTACTAGAAGGTAGATTAATACTTTCTAGATTTCAAATCATAGGAGTAGCAATGAGTGTGTGCTCATTTGTTAAAAGGTTAGCCCACAAAGGGGTTTGTGTTGCAATTCAAAAGGCAATAGTTTGGATCCACTTGTCTTATATTCTTTCTATGTCAACCATTAGGTTTATCAATATTACCCTATATGTTATGTGCTGGTAGTCTTATTTGACCTGGATCCCGTTAGACGTAACAGCTTGTCTAACTCCAGATACACTCCTCTCGACTAATTTGCTCTATCAACCACATGAATATTTTATTAGATTATATTAAAACATCTTAACAATAAGAGCTAAACCCACAAACAACCCTTACATGTTCACCAACATTTTATTAAACTACACAATAATATTTGAATATATAAAAGTCATACAAGAATTATTTGACAATAATACTAACACTTGATGACGAGAATTAGGAGTAACCTAAATATCCACCATCGTTATAAATATTTGTGTATAAATTATTAATTATAATTATATTATGGGAGATTTATCACACATTTTCATACGAAAATTTATGAAAAATATCATGGAGGACATAATATTTCAAGTGATTTGGACTTATAACATAATAAATATTTTTTTTTTAATATGAGATAATCAAATTAAATTAAAAAAGAACATTTTAAATAAAAAAATTAAGTCATAATTTCCCTTTTTTAATTTGGATGATGAAATAAAGGCAATGTATCTTCTTAGGTGTAAAAAAATATAACTATTTTAAAGCCTAAGATTTCCCCTCCCTCTCTCTCTCTCTCTCTCTTTTTTATTGGAATATGAGAGAGCTTGTTATCAAGTGTGAAATAATAGCGAAGAAGCTTACTTGAAGGTGACCTGAACCCAAACAGGCACAGCTATAACATGCGCGGCAACAAAAAGGATTTCTTTAGACCATTATACCCTCACAATTTGTCCCAATTAATGATTATATTATATTTTGTTATTGATAATTCATCCATCTTTTAAAATTATGACACTCAATTGATAATAGCAAGGTATAAAAGTTAGTGATGATACTTTTTCTTTTATCTATGGCTTCGTTTGGGACGGCTTTTTATTGCTTCTTGATGCAGCTTTTTTTCTAATACAATTTTTTTAATTTTTTATACTAAAAAGCTACTTCAATATACAATAAAAAATTGTCCCAAACGAAGTCTAATTCTTATCTTAGATCTGAATCATTATAATCATATATTTATAGAAATTTAGCAGTAACAACTACTTCAAAGAATGGTGGATAATTACTTTTAAATAGCGCAACAACTACTTCATAGCTTCCCAATGTTCTCTTCATATAATAATAATAATAATAATAATAATAATAATAATATAATACCATAAGACATGCTCACTAACAGGAAAAGCATCAAAGAGAAAAGACTCTTACAGTCTTACCTCATTGAAAATTGTTAAATTGTTTATTATAAATAAATGCAGAACATTTAAGAGATCAAAGTTTCATTTAACTGAAAAGACATATGACAGTAACATACTGCAAAAAGAATAGTGTAAAATTAATTCTATATAGGGGTGTAACTGAGTCAAGCCGACTCAGGAGCCATCTCGGACTCGACACATTAACAGGTTGAACGAGTCGAGCTTATCGAGCCCACGAGTTGAGCTCGAACATGACTTCGAACTCGACGGCTTATCGAGCTCGAACAAACCTCCGCTCGACTCATGAGCTCGTCGAGCAGCTTGTGGAGGTGACCTTCTGTTGCTGAAGGGAAAACGAAATCTCGGGCTCGGTCGGGCGGGAAAAATGAATCGAAGGCTGGGTGGGAAAAGGAAATCTTAAGCTAGCGTGTTGCTTGACGACGAAGCTCGAGACGATAGTGGACGCGACAAAGGAGCTCGGGATGACGGAGCTCCCGTACTGCTAGCCTGCTCAGGACGGAGCTCGACGAGCCGCTTGATGTGAGACTAGTCGAGCTCGAGCTCGACTCGAGTTCGAGCTCAAGCTTGAGCTTTGTATTTGGTAGTCGAGCTCGACTCGAATACCCCCGGACTCAAGCTCGACTCGAGTCGTTTACACCCCTATCTCATATCACCAGAAAACTTGTTATATCTATGAAAATTTTGATTTTTTTAGTAGGAAATTGTAAGAACAACAGTTCTACTTACAGCTAAAAATAAAGCTTTGGAAGACATAATTGAAGTAAAAAATGTAAGGTATCTTCATTTGTTATGCTTTTATAAGGCTAACATAATGGCCATTCCAGTTGCTCTTACAAACAGACAAAACAAGAGAAAACAATCCGAGAAGGGCAATATGAACCTGCTCAGTGTTGCTAGTCTTGATAGAAATTTGCCCATTGCATCTATTGTTAAGCCCAAAATGAAGCGCCATCTTTGAATTCTGACCGTTGGAGAACTCAGACTGAAAATTAGCACCCACAGCAAAGTCTCTCCATTTAATCACAGATAGACCAAAGGCAGAAAGAGCTTGCCCAATAGGATAATCCTTTTACCTGAAACAGACCTCCAAATCCACTCCACAAAAAATATTTCTTTATGCTCGAACCACGCCATTACTGGCAACCAAGCAAAGCTTCTTCCCAAGATTAATTTGTTCTTCTAATTTAAGCCCAGTCTTCTTTTTCAAGTTCCTGAACTTGGTTTCAGACTGAATTGAGTAAGCCATCTACTTCCGAATCTGTAGGTTGGATTCAATGGAGGAATCTAGATGGATAGTGAACTCCTCTTTGTCTTTCATGATCTAAACAGCGAGAGACACAGGGAACTGATGTGCAATATCAATACTTTGACCTCCTTTCTCTCCCTCCATCTTTTTCAATCTTTTGAGCTGAACATGAGCTTTGGTAAGCTTTTGAAATTTAGATTTCTTCAGGAGTTGATCGTGTTCATTATCATCGTCTAGTACTTCTTTTGTTATGTTATCTAAGTCAAAATCAACTCCCTAAACTTTTGAATGCAGAAGGGATGACAAAAAGACAGGAAGGGGATAAGGCCATTGAAAAGGGAAAAGCTTCTTTGGTGAAGGAATCTCAAGCTTCACAAGGGAATTAAACTCTGATAGGATTTTGAATGAGTAGCATAAGAGAAGCAAACAAGGCCTCCACTTGAGGCCATCGAGAAGTATGCTCTCTCCATCTATATATATCACTACTTTCAAATAGCATGTGATTCTATTCATTTATGATACTTATTTTTGAATTATAAAGGATGAATAAAACTTTAAGTGATCAAATTAAAAGCATAATTTTTTTTAATGAATTTATTTTATATATATATATATATACTTTATAATTTAAGCCTAATATAATATGAAATTTAAATTGAAAGAAAAAAATATATTTTTCACTAATTTTAAAAATATATATTCTCATATTTTCTTAAGATATATTTATAATTAATTAAATTGGAAAAAGTAACATAGAAATAATAAATTGAGATATTTTTAAATAATTACTTATGAAATTAGTAAATTTATAAGATGCTATGATATGAACATATGCATAGGTCTCTCTACTGGCAAATTTTTAGGTCCCGGTCACCGGACCTAAAAATAGGTCCGAACATTCAATTAAAACTTGCCACGTCGCATGTGCTTTTTGAATGCGCTTTGACTACGCTTTTGACGTGCTTAATTTAAAATAATATTTTATTAATATCCGGACCTATCTCCACGTCCGATGACTGAACCTAATAATTTACCCTCTCTACCCAAAATGATTCTAAAAAAATATTGCTTGGGTTTATGATTCTCAAAAAAATACTATGTCGGCAGCGGCCGCGATAGCAGATGGTGGCGGTTGGCATTAACGCAATTGACTTGCGGTGAAAAAAAAAAAATATCAAAATTGAATGAATTTATAAAACATAAAAAAATGAAGTAAGATGAAAAAAAATCACAAAATTTTATAGTGCATTTCATTTTCATCAAACCAAACACCTGAATTAGCATTCTATATACTGTGCATTTCTTTTTTAACAAATCAAATAACCCCTAAAACAAAAGAATATTTGTTTTATATATTTCTTATAAATTTGATTATGTTAAACTTTAATTTTATTGAAACTTGTTTAGTCAAGCTGTTTGATAATAAATTGAAAAGAAAAAGTGTTGATAATTAGTTCATTTTTTTTAAATAAATTTATTTGATTTAGTTGAAGTTTATATCTCATAAAAATATCTCTTTTTTCATTTTTTATTAATGTTATTCTTATTAAAAAGTTCATATTATTTAAATAATTTAAACATTTATTATTTCATTACAGTTCAACCCCAATTTATTTTTTTAATCCTGAATATTTTTTTTCTTTCGATTCAATCTCTGTCCAATTTTTAAAAGTAAAACTTCGAATCAAATTTGAGGGGGAAAAGTCTACATTTGCTTTAAAATGCGTGGAATAAAATTTTGTTAATTAATCATATATTATATTTGATACGTCATCGTGAAATTATCTTGATCAGGCACGAATCTCGAGGCAAAACCCAAACTGAAAATTTTAAAAAATTAAATCCGGGAGCACGTGAACTCTGATTATAGCGAGCTTACAGTCAAACTGAGCGTATCAGAAATACGAACCCAACGACACCAAATTCAACTCAATCCGAGCCCAAATGGGTCCGAATCATGGACCCGAAGGGCTGTTGGAAGGTTCAAACCGCAATTTGAGTTACCAAACGGTCTCCGATTTTAACGAGCTTATACTCGAATCGAGCGGGTCGATGAGACAAATCCAACGAGCCCAAGATTGCCAAATTCCGACATCACTAAGGCCTTCAAATGTCCAACGAACGGTGCATGATCGTAGGATTCAATATTGGCCGTCCATTCAACCACTCCCTATTTGTCCATGATCTCACACCTATTTAAGGGCTATGTCACTCCAAAAAATTATAAATAGAGCCCTCATTTCTCATGAGAGGGACTCAAGTGAAGAGAGAGAAAGAGAAGAGAAGGAGAATGAAAAGGGAAAAGGGAGAATCAACTCCTCCTCGACCACAGCCGTCTTCGCTCTTGTCGCCGCCTAAACACGCCGGAACTCTGCTGGATTTTGGGGAAACGCCAGGAATTTGTAGAAATTTGTAAACTTGCTTGAAGAAACGAGTTGTAATCTGATTTCCCCGACTTGTGGGACGAATCAGCCATTTGTAATCTGCAAACACTAGTGAAATTTTTCAACTGGGCGAGGCCCCGTGTTTTTTTTCCCTTTTTGGGTTTTACACGTAAAAATTTTGGTATTTATATTCTCTTTTATGTTTGTGTGCTGGATACTCATACAACGCTCGGATGCGAATTTACAAACTCTACCGCCGCGTATATTCTAGCCCGCAACAATATTAAATCCAAAATAAATTTAATGACTTCAAAACAGATATTTATTCTCTTATTAAGACAGCTTGTGAGTTACTAAGATTTCGTTTGGGAATACTTTCTAAAGCTAGTTTTTAGTATAAAACTTTTTTAAATTAAAAATTTTTGTACTAAAAAGTTGTTTTAAAAAATAATAAAAAAATTGGACGGCTTTCTTACTACTTCATAAAGCAGCTTTTTAGTACAAAAATTTTAATTTTTTAATCAAAAAGCGATTTTAAAAAACAGTAAAAAAGCCGCCCCAACGAAGTCTAAATCAAGCAGAAAAATATAGAAAACCATCTGAAGACAGAAAAACATAAACAATTCAAAACAATTAGGCATTATTTTGGTTGATTTCCTTAACAATATATTCAAAAAAATTTACAAAATATCAACAGAAGCTCACGGAACTGGAAAACATCTCTGTTCACGAACAAGAAAAAAAAAATAAAAAATTTTCCCCTTCCCCTTATTCAATCTAAATAAGTTCTAGCAGGTTTGAGGTTTCTGTTACTAAAATATACCAACAATTCATGAAAAAAAAAAAATTTCAAATTATAATACATTAATTCATACCAGGGGCGGATCCAGCTTCTTTTTTCACGGTGGGCAAAAAAAAAAAATTTTTTTGTGGGGATGGACAAAAATGCCTAGGATTGATAAAATTAGGACAAAAAAAATTTTTGAGGGGGGAAAATGCCTAAAATACTCAAAATATTCCAAAAAATCTCCTATAAGTATTAAAAAAAAAAAAATTGAGGGTGGGCATTTGCCCACCCTAAGACTAGGGTGTATCCGCCCATGATTCATACCTCCTTATCTACATTAAACAAGCTGCACAACAGCAGAAACTCTCAGAGCTCCACGCTGAAGCAGATCACCAAGTTCATCAAACAACAGTGCAGTTCTCCAGCCCCAGCCTTTTGGAGCTTTGGGCAGCAGAGTTCTAGCCTGCTTAAAGCTCCCAAACACCATGACTTCTCTCTTTGATGGACAAATCAACTGTGAATCATAGAAAGTAGTATAGTTCAGTTAAGCGATTTTCGTATCGTTTTTTCCACAAAATTGTTCGGCGAAATACCTGATAACGAGCCGTCACCTTTTTGCGAGGATCGACATACATGTGGACCTGAGAAGGAAAGGTTAATGACATTCTGGATGTTGTTGATATGTTATGATTGAGTAACAAACACATTGGTGCAGTTTGGTAGCTTATATAAGGCAGGATTTATGTTATATTTAGCTTAAATCCTGCAAAATGGGATTTTGGGGCTTTAAATTCTCGTGTTTTTATGTTAGACCGGCCCCTAGTGGGCCGGTCCAGTCGGCCCGTTCTAAGGGGCCGGTTCACGTCTATAGCAGGAGGGGCGGCGGCAAGGGGGAGAGAGAGAGATAGGATGGGGTCCACTTGATTTCAAATTTGGAGCCAAAGGAGAGGGCGGCAAGAGCTTTTAGATCTTTTTGTCTTATTATTTTAATTGTATGCCTTAAGTATGGGAGGGAGATTAGGGTTTGGATTATGTTTTGATAAATTGTGTTCTTTGGAGGATTCTTCTTGATGTTTTGGGCTCTAAATTCATCTAGAGATTGGGAGAGACGATCCTCCTCTCGAATTGAGGATCAATTGTATCTTTATTTTTGTTGTTTCTGTCAGTTCTCCCTTTTGCAATTCAATTATAATTTGGAGAGTTTTTCACCAGATTTTGTGTGATTCTATTGTTGTTTTCCCTTATTCTTGTTAGGGTTTACTTGAAATATTCAAGTATTTCCTATCATTTTGATAAATCTTATTTCAACCATTTTATTGATTTAATCCATGAATGTTAAACCCTACAATTCACAGTATTTAAAGGATTTAAGGAATTCTCATCTTATAAATTTTGAATTATGAAACAAATAGTCAAGTAGTTTTCTATAAAAAAAAAAAAAGTAGTTTCCATTATCTGTTAAATACCATCATTCACAGAATTTAAAAGATTAAAGAATGATCATATTATAAATTTTAAACTCTGAAACAAACAATGAAACAATTTATCAAAAGCTAGGAAGATTTAATATGTAATCCTCTCAAAATTTACTAAAATTGGATTTATAGGACTTACTAAATCTTACTTTGAGTTAAATCCTACTTATAGCCAAACAGCCCATTACCTTTCTAAGGGAATCTGCCACCTCTGCCTTACGTCTATGAAGAAATAATCCTGAAGAAAATACGTTTTACAGAGCTTAAATTGGTTCAGTCATTAAATTGATGATTAATATATACTTAAGATGAAATACCTAGAGTACGACGCCCTTGAAGATCTTCATCATTGAAAGCTTGAATACTGACCTGTAAAGAATCCATATATTAAAATAAAAGGGTTTAGGGTTTAGGGTTTAGGGTTTAGGGTTTAGGGTTTTTAGGGTTTCGGTTTTTAGGGTTTCGGGTTTAGGGTTTCGGGTTTAGGGTT